TATATATATATATATATATTTATATACATGTGTGTGTGTGTGTGTATGTGTGTGTGTGTGCTTACCTAAAGGGCTTTCCAGTCGAATTGCTCAGTGACACATCCGCTAATCTGCGGATAGCCTCTCCGCTGGCCTTAAACTTGAGATAACTTTGTTCGAAACGCTTGTTATTGTAATCCATCATCGACTCACGCTTGGCCAGTAGCACTTGTCCCAGCATCTGTGGCAAATCAAAATGCAATAGATAAAATTACAACCAAGAAGAGAAACCTAAAGTATCAGCTGAACTCACAAACTGTTTCGCGTGAACTAGTTCTTAGATCTATTTTTTGGTCTTGTCGTCATCTGAATCACAGCTAGTATTTAAAGATATTGCGCCGCACACACACTACTCGTATACATATGTAGTACCTAATTGAGATCGAGACGCGTATATACTTCATACAAGTACTGACTAATTGTGATACACCATACATGTATATCCATCTCAATATGAATGTCAATTTGATATAGTTACGTTTAGAATTAGACTCGCACCGATTCAGGCCCGCCCGGCAATGACATATATCACAACAACGCACCATGTGTCTACGCCTGGTAACTCTATAAACAGGAGTCCAGAGAGACGACTAGGTTGTTCTTAGGGAAGGGGGCGGGGCACTCCAGGTATCTCTACGACAAGACTCTCCTCACTCGACACACTGTGCTAACCACGCACACACACGCGCACGAGCACACTTACGGACAGGACACACTCGTACAGATAAAACTACAGATACACCAGTCGTGCAGAGAAACGAAGGCAGGTGTGGGTACAGTGGGCATACGTTCTCCACGTTCTCCTGTACTGCGAGTATCTTTTCTTCTCTCATCTTCCGCTTCTCCACAGAGTCTCCCTTGGCCAGTTTGTACCACTTGTCTGCGATGACGTTGGAGATCCTCCTCCAGTCTTTTTGTTCCTGCTGTGATCACACAAGACGTAGGTGTAGATGACAATGACAGCAGAACCCCAACCACACCCCACCCTCACATAGAAGGTAGTTTTGGCGTCTTTAAAATTTTCGGGTTTTTAGGTTTTTATGGTTTTGGAAACTAGAAACCATAACACCTTGCGCACAGTTTTTTAAGGGTTTTAGGGTTTTTAGGGTTTTAGGGTTTAGGGTTTTCGATATAGATAATGACCATAGCCCAGTATGCTTATAAATACAATCACACTGCACCCCCACACAGACAGTCGTCTACTGTGGCGTGTGGCTCGAATCCGCAGCCCCTCATCCAGCACTCATCCACAGCGCAACGGGCAAAAAAAACCATATACCCTGGCACGAAGATACGCATGCAGAAGACCGATACATACCCACATACATGTACATATACATACATACATACCTCCTTCCTATGTCAACTACAATTAGAGTATCAACACACTTTCAAGCTAGCAAATGACATATATTTTGCTACAAAGATACGCATACAGAAGACAAATACATACCAATATGCATGTACATATACATACATACATACATACCTCCTTCCAATGTCAACTACAACTAGAGATATCAACACACCTTCTAGCGTGCAAACAAAACATATATCCTACGCAAGCTGAAGACCGATACATACCTATATGTATGCACATATACATACATACATACATACATACCTACATCCAATGCCAACTAAAACTAGACATATCAACACACCTTCTGCACGGCCTCAGTCAGTCCGCGGAATCGCGCGTGCGTGGAGTTCGTGTTGGCAGCCGAGTTCTGGCTCTCATTTGCGCCGGATGGTGTGTACATGCCCCCCCCCTGTAGACACTATAGCCCCCACAGTACTGCTTGGTGACGGAAAGGTAAATGAATCGCTTTTGTGTTTTGAAGCGGACATTGCGTTCTTGCTGCCGGCAGGCCTGAGTTTGCTGTGTGAATTGGACCGCCGGTCCTCCAGAAGTTGCCGACGTGCAGCGAAGGGGCTCCTGAGGAGAAAGAGGGGGGGTGAAAGGTCAAGAGTGTGTAATATTTGTATGTATATAAATATATAC